CCTGCTCCAGGTGGATCGCGTTTAGTCAGAAGTCACTATGACTTGCCCGTCTTGGGTGTCCCTGCACGGCATAGCCCATAGCTTCTTAATTTAATTCAAACCCCTTTGCGACGACCTGGCAGCAATCCATGAAGGGGATTATATAATAGTAATATAAATATAATAGTATTTGTATTATATGAAATATAATACAAAAATATTACATGAAATATAATAGTATCACCAAAAAATAGTAATAATAGGAAGTATTGCCAGAAGAGGATGAGAATCAAAAGCTGGATTCTTCCACTCATTAGCAATGGGATACAAATTATAAATAGTATTCTTTGTCTTGTAAGTTTAAGAAGTGTTGAGAGAATTTAATTTAAGTGGGTCTTTTGGCAAATCAGAAAGGGACTTCTTGCTGTTTGATATAATAGGTACATGTCTCTATATCCAAAATAATAAAGTCTCTGGTAAAAAGCTCATTGGCATCTTTCATGATTAAAAATGTATAGAGGGAGTATATTGAAAAAAATCTTGTTAATAACAATTCAGATTTATTAAAATATCTGACTGGTCTTATCTTTTTAAATTATATCGGGTACCATTCCATATAGTTCAGCAAATGTGAAATATTATTTCTACTTGGTTCAAGAAAAAAGTTAATTGTTATGAAAGAGGAATCCATCTATGAATCTGCAAAGGGGAAAACATCTCTTTGTACTTCCTAAATTGAGACCTTAAATCTCCACTCCTAAAGGAAGTCAGAAATTCCCATATGTTCTCTTTTCCACTTCTCTACTGCATTTCTTCAAGTTGCATGCAGACTGATTTCCACATTAAGAAAAAGAAAAGTGAACTTTTAAAAATATCATACATTGAGGATTTAGTATGCTAAATTAATATGAAATGTATTTAGAATTCAAACAGTCTGGGAAAATCTGGGGACCTGTTTTAATCTAATACCAATTTTGCAGAATAGCTACTATCTTCTTTTCATCTGTAGGCTGATTTGGATGGGAGCTGGCTTTCTTGTGTAACATTACCATACTGCAGCCTTATGGATGAGGTAGCTTACAGTGTTCTTTGCCAGGTAATTCAAATTCTCTTCTACCTGACAGCATTGCAATCAAGTGTGAAGATTTATGTGATCAGCCTTGCCCCATACAGATATGACATTCCCTATCTCTTTCATTTTTTCTTCCCTCTAGCTATCCAAGATATTATCAGAGTTAAGCAACTTCTACAGAAATCAGTGTTGACAGGAAAACAGCCCAAGATGGATGAATTGTTGGGAAGGGTAAGAGACTGTGCCCAATAGATCTAAGAGACATGCATCAAAGCCTTCTCTTTTTCATTGTCAAGCAGAGAACTCTCAATGTGTGGAATACAGGTTTTTTTTCTTTCCAGACATACTTGTGATCTATACCTATTGTGACCTGAGAATTATGGTTTCAATATGTTGAAGGTGTTGGAGAGTTTTGTGTTTTGGCTAATCACATCTAGCTGTGCAGCAGAAGTGAAGGGACTTGCACAGCAGAGTAGAACAACCCTGAACTCTCAACGTCTGTCACTTAACTTACATAACAATGTCTCGCTTTGAGACATTGATAAGAGAAAGAATAAAAGGTTCCATTTACTGACAGTTGAAAATAAAAGATTCAGTTTACTTACACATCAAAAACAGCATACTGTACACAAAAATGATTGCTTATAGGAAGAGGTCTCAATAGACCCAAAGCCTGTTTCCAGAAGGTTGCTGTAGTCTACATTGTAACAGCACTAAACTGCTAACTGCATAGGTAAGGTAAAGGTTCCCCTTGACAATTTTTGTCCAGTTGTGTTCGACTCTAGGGCGCGGTGCTCATCCCTGTTTCCAAGCCATACAGCCAGTGTTTGTCCAGAGACAATCTTCCGTGGTCACATGGCACTGCGACTTAGACACGGAACACTGTTACCTTCCCACTGAGGTGGTCCCTATTTATCTACTCGCATTTACATGCTTTCGAACCGCTAGGTTGGTGGGAGCTGGGATGAGCAATGGGAGCTCACTCCGTTGCACGGATTCGAGCTTACGACTGCGGGTCTTCTGACCCTGCAGCACAGGCTTCTGCAGTTTAGCCCACAGCGCCACCACGTCCCTTACTATGCTAACTGCATAGTAACACTCTTATCTGCCAGCTGACTAAAAGAGCAGGAAAATGACAGAGAGGTATGGCTCTCTTCAAAATCAGAGGCAGGGAAGGAACAGTTGTTTACTTTTGGATTGACTGACAGTCACACCAGTCCAGAATGGTCGCTCCCAGCCAAATCTATTGAATGCAGCATATGAGGCTGAAAATAACTCCCAACAGGTAGTATCTCCTAGAATATTTACAAAGCATCATAATGCAAATTAGTTGAAAAGAATCTGGACCATTTGGATGCCTACAGTGATTGTATTGTTATATTCTGTTGTTATCCATAGCCGGATCTTCTACCAACAAACTACTGGCAATTTTTATAGAACAAGGCTTCAAATGGAAAGAAACCTACTTGAAAGAACTGAAAATCAATCAGAGGACTTCTCATTACCAAGTGTGAAATACCACACTGACCTCACACAATTTGCAACTTGTATGTACTATGGTTGTTGTGGGTTTTTCGGGTTCTTTGATCTTCAAGAATACATTGTATGTACTATATTAATCACCTATTGTTACTTTGTCCTGTGCATCCCCACCAGGTTGTGATACCATGTATAAATGATTGATATACAGTTGCATTCTTATGTTGCAGGACTTGATCCATAAAAGCTTACTTTAAAATATAGCAGTTAGTCTTTAAGGTGCCACAACATGCCATCTCCTTTTTATTTTTTCTTTATTTTTGTTTCTTAACTGATATGCTTGCACAGACTATCATGGCTACAACTTGGAAAATTGGATGCCTGAGACATTCTACAATGCTATTTGAATCAAGGCTGACAGAGCTCCTAAGTTTATTTTCCTGTAAATACAAACCACAAAAGTCAGACTGGAAGAAAGCAAACACTTGGGCATGGCTAAAGAGATCTATCTAGATTATGCCCATAAATTGGAATGCTAAAACAAAAATACAAAACAATGCTTCCCGATAAGTTGATGTACCTGAACGTCCAGGTTTACCAGTCACGGTGTTTGGTGGCAAAGGTTTTCTTCGCATTTGTGTAGGTCTGGCAGGAGCTAAGGGAGGTCGTGGAGAATCAGGTGGTGTAGCTACTGTATAACGTTACAAGACACCACTGTTAACGGAGGAACAGCACATCACGCAATCAGAAAGAAACATGGCTAATAGCTACACTTCTCAAGCAAAAGTTTAAGGCATGAGCTTCAGCGGTAAGAACTGCAAAAGAACACAAAACATAGACAGGGAAGAGCTGAAAGGGGTTATTTTGCGCGTTTGTATTTCTTGCATGAAAATATGCATGCTTCCAGCATGCAAGCAACAGCACAGCAAGGCAGCTAAGCTAATTCACAGAAGTGGATTCTTCTTGTTTGGCTTAGAATCTTTATGGTCTTTGTACATGATATTACAGTGACAGAACAGAGAATCAGAATTTTAATTAAATGGTGTTAGTAAGGAAGTTAGATCCAGATAGGATCAATGATCATTGTCTTCTAGGGATACAACCATTTTAGCTGATGCAAGAATCTGTGGAGTGGAACATTAAGCAAACACTGCTATAAGGGATGGCTGAAATCCTATTCCACAGTTATGCAATTTGTGTAGTTTTTAGATGTGAATTCCCATAAGTTAAGAAAACTCTGTAGGCATTATCTGTTGCCTGCTGAATTACACAACTCAGTAGGCAACAGAGATGGAGACTTAACTTATGGCAAATCACTTCCAAAAGTTCTGCCATTTGCATAACTGTGCTGTAAGAGTTCAGTCAATGTCTCTGATCCCTCCTAAAACCACAATCAGAGGGGTAACCAGTTTCAGGAATGATGAGATGACAGCAAACACTTCCAGAAATAAATCCTTGAGGACACCCTGCCAAATAATATTTAACATATCCATGTTTTGGCTACTGAAAGCAGAACTCCATTTTCAAATGCTCTGTGCACAAGGAGAAGGCTGTTGCCCTATAGTGTGAAAATAATGGTTAACATGAAACTAGAGTTTGGAAAAATTCATTTTTCAGACTATGACTTTCAGATTCCTCTTGCTAACATGAGTCATAGAATCATACACAAGTGAAGTTGGAAGGGACCTACAAGGCCATCAAGTCCAACCCCCTGCTCAATGCAGGAATATAATCAAAGCATATCTACCAGGTGATTATCTAAGTTTTTCTTGAATGCCTCCAGTGTTGGAGCACTCACCAACTCCTGAGGTAACTGGTTCCACTGTCGCACTGCTCTAACCGTTAGGAAGTTTTTCCTGATGTTCAACCGAAATCTGGCTTCCTTTAAGTTGAGCTCATTGTTGCATGTCCTGCACTCTGGGATGAGTCCCAGAAGATTCTAGAAGTTTCAGTTTTTCTAAAAAAGGAACAATTTCTAAGGTTTGGGTGAAAAAGTAGTTGCATACAGTACCTCATATCTGGTTGGGCACATCTTCCAGTTACATAAATGCAGTACCACAAAAACAGGATTGCATCCCCTGAATTTAACAGCATCCTATGCTCAGCAGTCCATACCAGTTCTATCTTTCTGCACATGGGTCTTTTTAAATGAAAATAAGCTGTACATACTAATCCAACTAATATCCTTGACATGCAGTAAAAGGGTCTTAAAATAAAATGCATATAATGGACAGCACCGTTTTAGAGGTAGTACCAGCTGGACATATGCTGATTTCAGATATTGCAGTGAAGGATAATTAAATATGTAGTTTTCATCTTTCAAAGTCATATGGATTGTTGCTGCAATTTCATAATTAATAATTAATATAATGGTTCTTATGCTAAAGGGGTATCATAATTTCAGAAAATCAGCCCTTTTATGTTTCTGTAAATTAACTCTACCATTCTTTACAATAATGAAATGTATTCCACTGTTTTTATCATTTTATAAGGCTGTTTCCATGCATTCCTTCCAAGCTTTAATGTTAGATAGAATTCAATAAGAGAAACTTTCAAATACATCAACATAACAAGTTCATGCACAGCTTCAGAGAAATTATAGCACATGAATGAAAAGTTAGCAACTGGAAATGCCATGGCAGCAGTAAGTAGTATTGCGATATATTCAAGTCATATTGAACATAAATTCCTTTCAAGAGAAGAACTCTAATTTATTAACTAGACAATTATCAATCATGCAATTAAACAAAGTATAATTAAGACTTCAATATGTACAAACATACGAGAAAACAAGTCTCATTACCAGTGAATGGAGATTGCTTTGTTTTGAAGTTTAGAATTGAACTGTTAATTTATTAATCAAAATTGTCTACTAAATTAGAATCATTTGGGATCTTAGAACTGATAAACAGCATCACCCTTGTGGAATGGGGACCTGCTGTCTTGTCTCCTTGTTCCCTCTGCAGCACCCTGTGCCCCTTTGTAAAAGTGATTCCTCGGTGTTAGGAGATCTTTAGAACAAATGTAAGGGTAGCAAGGGAGGTTGCATCAGAGGAAAGGCTGTTCAGCCATACTTTGATCCTCTCTGTTGCATAAGCAAGTGCCTTCTTCTCACCCAAGTCTATCAGTGGATCCAAGCCAAAGTATCTACTACATTGCAGACAGGCTTTTGTTCAGTGGAGAGAGCAGAGCAGAAGACTCTCAGCAGAGAGGAAACAGGGGAGGATCATAGGAAATGGCTACCCAATCCCTTTCCCAACTGGGAAGCTTCTGCTAGATCTGTTTCACTCTGCAAATGCATTTATCATACAAGGGAATGGACAAAGTATGTATGCCATTTTCCAGTACTGGATCTCCAAGTAAACTATTAAGAGGAATATTCTATCCAAGCTATCTTCCAGACTTCTTCAGGACGGCTGGTAATCAAATGCTCCAAACACCTCTCTCAACTAGTGTGTGTGAGATTGCCTGGGCTGCCTGTTGCTTGTCTGGACATACCAGGCGTGCCTTGTTGTGAAGCAGCCAGCCAGAAAATGGTAAAAATTCCTTGCATTGATTCCCTTATGGCACACACCATTTCACAATAAGATTTTGGCCAATGGCCCAGTTTACTGTGATTCAATTTGTTAGGAAAAGTAGTACCATTTACCCTACTAATCACAAAGTACTCTTACCGGGATCTGTTTTTTTTCTTGCAACTGAGGAATGCAGTGAGGTGTTGGAACTTATACTAGAACTCGTACTAAGAAGCTTTGTGGCATCCTGGTCTGTTAATTTGTCACCTGTGAAAGGAAATGAATGAATGAATGAATGAATGAATGAATGAATGAATGAATGAATGAATGAATGAATGAATGAATGAATGAATGAGAAAGTTCTCTGACATATAGATCTCTGCTGAATGTAGACAAAACTACAGAGGCGTGCTGCAAAATTTTGTCTCTAAAAGAGTCCCACTGCCAGGAGAAAGACAGTGTAGACATGTATTAAATAAATAAAAAATAAAAGTAAAAAGTCTAGTGAAGATGGAGAGCCTTCTAATTGTACACAGTCAGTACCATGTAAATACAAATCTTTACTCATTCACCACATATACAAAGGGCTACTTATGTAAGTGTATTACTGAAGGTTCAGTATATAAAATACTAATCACATTTTCAGACATGACTCAAAAGAAATATTGGCAAAAACAACTTATAACATGCTATTTTAAAACAAGCTTAAAGCATTAGCTGACACAAACATTGTGCAAGACTTAAAATTCTTGTGTTTGAGTAGCTGAACCCCTCTATCTTTGGTTATTTATTTATTCCATGGATTATCCTTCTTGTAGCTCAAGATACTTGTTGAGATGAAGGCTTTGATTCCTTGTGTCCTAAGACAGAAAGAAAGCTTATAAGCAGCATCTGGAAATTGGTCCAATGATACTTGCCGAGGTACATGGCTGAGTAGAGGTCTGAACCTTGCTGTCTCTGGTCATAGACAAATGTTCCAACTACTATAGCAAGGTGCTTCCGCTCACTATTTGGCAACCCTCCTTTCCTTCCACAGCTCCTGTAGACTCTGCCAACCTTGGAATAAGCTTTTTAAGGGACCTTTGGGGGAAGAAGTGTGGGAAAGTAATTTTCTGCCCATTATCTTCTGCTAGCACTTCTCTGGATCTAGTTCACAGATAAAGAGATATTCCTGCTTTTGTTGCTGTGTTTTCACTTTACTTGCGGTAAACTCATGGTTTTATTTAGAAACTAGCTGGAATATCACTAATGCCAGCAAGGCAGCCAGATAAACATGCAGCACGTCAAGACAAAGTCTTATTCAAATACAACACATTGATTAAGTTACTGTTCACTTCTTATAGGTTTTGTGTCACTGTTGACCCCTCGACCACATCCTTCTAAATCCATACATTAGATTGTCAGTCCAAATGAGAGTTTGTCAAAGGACGGTGTGCAAAACTGACATGAAGAGAATTTGCTATCTTCCAGTATTCCTAAACTTCTCAAAACTCATGCAGAAACAGTCACACAATTATTATACTTAGTAAACCAAGTTGCGGTTTAATTTGTTGTGCCTTGATTTATTATGCTTTTTTTTAAAAATGGAAAATATTAAAATTAACATTCCTGTGAACTATTCTACATATAGAGCAAATAAGTGATGTCAGCCACTAAACTGAAACTGAAATTGTTACAACCAGAAGGTTTCATGGGCATGCCCTGCATCAGCAGTTAGCATTCTTGGGCAGTTGCTAGGGCATCCATTTATGTCTGCCTTTAGCCCTGCTATCTTTAAACCTTGCATGACTAATATAATTCAGTGGTGAAAGAACCTATAGCAGCTGTGGAGCCAGGGGCTTGAGTCTGAATCCTCACTATGCTCTCTGGAAGAAAGGCCAAGCAAGATCAACAGGAGCAGATGTTGCTGGTGGAACTATGTGCCCTATCACCTGTGCATCCTTGAGCAAGTTCCACAGTCCTAGAGCACCATCAAAAGGAAGGATTAGTAAAAGCACTTTGTTCCTAGGAAACCTTAAATGGCTTGGGACCTAGATACAAAAAGGAAATGTCACCCCCAATATACACCTACCTGATCACTAAGACCTGCTGGTGTGTGTGGTTCTTCTGTGTCCCGCTATGGAGAACAATCCACTATGTGGAGATACAGGCAAGGGCTTTCTCGGCTATAGCACTCCAGCTATAGAAGGCGCTCTCCTTAGAGGCTCAACTGGTGCCAACACTAACCTCATTTTGGCAGCAAGTTAATACCTAATTATAGATCAAGACCTTCAGGGATTAAAGTAGTAGGTTGTGTAGGCCCTGTTAGAGATTTTAATGCAGGCATAGAATTTTAATGATTTAAATGTTTTTAAATATTAAAAATGGAATTTCTTTTGTATTGATTTTATTGCTATACTCTGTCCTGAGATCATAAAATGTAGGGCAGAATATAAATGTTCTTAATAAATAAACAACTGAAGCCAACTAGACATCATTTTTTCCCAGGCCAGGCCTCTGGCTTGGCATTGTGAGCAGCACCAGGTGGCACTGGAATGAAACGAACCCCAGAGCTGGCACTGTGCATTGATCAAGGAAAGGATGTTTGTACTGGGATAACTTTCTCCCCCAGCAACAATTGCAAGCCAAAAAGAACATTTCTCAAGCAACAGCCAGACCACCTTGGACTAAAAAATACCAGTGGCCATAGCTAAGGCCTCCAAGGGAAATGATAAACGCCAAACATTCCACTCCAACAGCTTGGATAAGGCTTCTCCGCTTCAGTTCCTAGGCCTCAACTCTATGGAGATGGTTTTCAGGAGAAAAAAACACACCTTGCAAAATCAACCCTGATGCCAACACTCTTCTGCTGGATCTGAGTATGGGAACTCCCAGACCTTATAGGGGAAACTTAAGAATCAAAGATGGCAAAGGGGGCAATCATTTCCACTGTTCCTAGTCTGGAGCAAAAACTTATATCAGGAGCAAACTGAGCCATATAGAATGACCTCTATACCTCAGAGGAGGTAGGTTTATTACAGAGCAAAAGGAGAGAGAACAACAATTGGACCAAAGAACTTCAGACAAAAATAAAATAGCAAAACATTACAACACAAAGTATATTACAAACAGCCTGAGCTTAGAACAATCCAGGACCAGAGTAATGTAGGGCAGAGCCCATGAGCAAATGAATCCAAGAAGAGACAAGTAGGAAATGAGAGGAAGAAAGAAAACGGGCTCCAAAGCCCAAGCTTTTACACTCCAACCCTCAGCAACCTAAGGTGATTAGTTGTGGCAATCTCACACTCTTCAGTATACAGAGTTGACACATATTCCTTCTGAAATGTTGCAATGAGACCTTGTTTAATCCATAAGCTTGTCCCCACACTAGGTATGCAAGGTAAGACACACACACACTATTGAGGTAGTAATGTGCCAGTTCTCTTGTGGATGCAGCCAAAGACAGCTGCAATGATTACCATAGCCTAATCTCTGACCTTGAGAATCTTAACCTGCAGATACTACAGGTGAGCCTCAGGCAGTGAGATTTTTGTTCCTGGTGGTAGCAGAGGTTCCAAGAATTCTTAGAAATATGGATCACAATCTTATAAACAGATCTAGGTTCATTCACAGTCAGGCTGACTGAGAGATTCTAGGATAACCATCCAAAGAAGTAAATTTCTCAGGCGACGGGTGTTGTCTATGGAGAATACAGTACTGTATTTCTTTCTCAAAGTAACTTTGTGAGGTGGATGACACAGGCCAAGTCTGTGTCAAGAGTATTTAAACACTATTCAGGTATTATGTCTGAATCTGTGTAGGGCTGAATTAGTAATGGGGACAGGGACGCACATGTAAGTCCCACTGCCTACATCATTATTCTACTGAGAGGTCAGCAAGATCTTTGTGTTAAAAACAACAATCTGAGAAGGAGCCTGTAAGCATCTTCAGCTTAACATGCTTAGAGGGCTTCCCTGATTGGGAGCCATGATAAAGAAGAGCACCTGATTATAGGGGCACAGTAAGTGCATTCAGTACTGCAAGCATGCTTAGAGGGTCCTTTGCAGACCTTTGTATTAAACACAAGCACATCTTGCTGAATTAATGGTGGGACATGCATATGCATTGATATCTTCATGTATCCATCACCCACTTAGTGTTGCCCAAACCCTATTTTAGTATATTAAAAGAATACATGAAAACAAATTAATTTGTCTCCAATTACTTTTTGGCTTAATTACTGCTCCATTTTTAAATGATCTAATTCTCTGATCAGCGTTTAAGATTTTTTCCTGTGGCTTTTGATTGGTTAGCTTTAAAATATATTATGATAACATTTCCTTTGATTTGGGAAAGGCTAGTTATAAACACCAGCATAGTGCAAGAAGATTACATGGAGGCTAAATTACTAAGTAGAAACACTTACGTAATACATTTCAGATGGTGGAATAACTTCCCTAACACAGTTTGGAATAAATTCTAAAACCCAGGCAACTTGATATTTAAAACTCCATTTTTCTTCATTTTATTTTTAATGCTTTTGTTCATGTATATTTTAAATAATTTATCTTCACTTCATACCTTCAGATGGCACTTCAGACTGTACAGAAGAAGTAAAGGTCCTATCTTAACTGGAGCCATCTTTCCAGCTCATATTTTCCCTGCTGTTCTAATAGTACAAGCCGCAAATCAGTACCAACAATGACAAAAAGTGACAAAAACTCTGACTTTCAAGATTTTTGAAAACCACCTCCTCAAACTTCCTTTTTTCTTGGATTCTAAACCTTCAGTGTTAGCAGTAATCCAGAAACAAACAATGTGAAATCCAGCACAGAAGATCATTTTAGAAGAGTTCAACGGGTTTTATCTATGTTTCCCAAATAATTATTTAATAAATAACTATTTCTAAAAGGGTTCAGGTCATTGAAATGCTCATTGAAAATGACTCAAATTGGAACGTTTCCATATTACTAAGTGACTAAAAAATCTAGTACACAAAATAATTTTGGAAGGGTTTCAAGTTTTTAAAATACATTCCAATCTAGTCCTTTAAATAATGATGATTTCTTGAAGTAAAGCAAAGAGAAGAATGGTTTTAGGAATGTGGAGAGAAATCACTGCAAAATCCATGCCCATTCGGCATGCAGCTGTACCAAAGCATAAAGGGGAGAGGAACAAATGCTTTATCTGGATGGGCTCCACAGATATAAATCTCTTTTAGTTTTGCCAATAAAATAATCATAATACATTTCAACAGGTAAGAATAATAAGCTTCACCTCTAGGCAGTTTACCCCATGTCAGTCCTCCTTGTGTCCTTGTTCTAGGAGGGGCCGGTGTGGTTTTATTTACAACTGAAAAGAATTCCAAATTGCAAAGATCATTAGAAGTAGAAAGCAGTTATATAATAATAATTATTTGTGTGTGTGTGTGTGTTACAGGCTATCATAAAATCTTTCACTGACTACCTTCACACAGAAAAAGTTGCAAAGTGATGTGGCCAAGATTCTTTTTGTAATAATGGCCTCCACCTAATTTCCATGAGCTCTTCCTTCCCTGTCAACGCCCCCCCCAGCATACCCAACTTGGCATTGTCCCTGACCATCCATATAGTGTTTTTGAGAGGCCACTATTGGAGCAGGAGGCAGGAATGTCAGCTTCTCCTTGTTCCATTTCATGTGTCTAAATCTGGATCCAGTCCAGTGTCTCTGGAGGATCTTGGAAACACGGAGAGCAAAACTACATTTCAGTCTTTTGCACTTAAGCCAAGTCAAAGTCATAAAAACCTCTAACATTGTGCATGAACAACAGCTACACTAGCTGTTTCATAATACATCAGCAAAGTACAGAATGGCATGCAAGGCCCTCAGAGGTACATAAAGAGGTGCCCACTGTACTGACACAGGAGAAAAATAATTTTGGGGGCAAGGGGAAGAGTGAAAACCATGGCAATTTATACCTTCTTGCTTGACACACTGAGGGTTGTGGGAACAGATGTTGCATCCTAATTCTAATCCATTAGCACTAGTAAAGTCCTGGAAATACTGTTGAAGGACCTTTAAGAGATGAGGAGGGCCACTCTGTCTCTAAATGTATCTCACTTTAGACTAATTAGGATTATATTATGGCTAGGCGGCTAACAATCAACAAATAATAAAGACAAACATATAAGAAATGAGGAGGACCACACTGTTTCTAAATGTATCTCACTTCAGACTAATTAGGATTATACTATGCTACCAAATTTACAGCTGTTAATAAATCAAACATAAAACACTAAGAAGTGATAATAATTAATATATCAAACTATTAGTATCAACTAGCATAAAATAACATATAAAAATAATGTATTTACCAAGCTTGGCCGATGATCTATCAGTTGTTTTAGGTTTTACAGTAGTCCCATACACTTTAGGTAGTGCTGTTAGAAAGAAACCAAAATTTAATTTCCAAAGATATAAAGTATTGTAAAGATAATATGCAGCATGAAAGAGGATCGAATTACCCCAACCTGTGTCCAAGCCGAAGGAAAAATAGACACCCATCAGCTCTATAAATTTGAGTATTATCCAAGATCTGCATTAAAAGTTTAAGCAAGCTTACAAAGCATTTATAAAACCAAATCACAATTTTTGTACCCCAAACTTATACATCACAGGAGTTTAACCATTAAAGAGTTTCTACAGACACTACATGTTATTGTTGTTGTTGTTTAGTCGTTCAGTTGTGTCTGACTCTTCATGACCCCATGGGCCAGAGTATGCCAGTCCCCCTGTTCTCCACTGCTTCCTGGAGCTGGGTCAAATTCATGTTGGTAGCTTCGATGACACTGTCCAAGCATCTCGTCCTCTGTCGTCCCCTTCTCCTCCTGCCTTCACACTTTCCTAACATCAGGGTCTTTTCCAGGGAATATATATATCTGACTGGTAGAGCGTTGATGTTGATGTTGCCACAGGGTAATCATGTATATTTATCATGCACAAATTTCCTGAGTAATAGGTATTTGAGCTTCCCCTTTAGATGCACACTTCACCATGGTGAGGGAATATGAATATGTCATGGAACCTAAGAAGAAAACTGTCATGACGCTAGATTTTGTCACAAGTCCAGACTCCTAGCAGAGTCACCCGAAGTGAAGAAATATATTGCTTCTCTTTTTAATTGATGGGTTTCTATTCCAAGCTGCAGAGATTGAACCTATCACAATTCTAGCAAAAGCACACCAACAAATATGGAAAGCGAAACAATGGCCAGCAGATTGGAGATGTTCAATGCACAACTGCAAAGAAAGTAAACATCAGAGATTCAATAACTACAAGAAAATCACATTTTTAAAGAGGACTGCGTGTGAAAAGCAAGAAAAACTGTAATTATTACATTATATGATTTTAAAGCATTTGAGGTTTATAGTATATGCATTATTGGGTCATTAATACAAATACAATTAAATCCAAAAGATGCTTAACAAATACACAATATATTTCATTTATTCATATGGAACAAAAACAAATTACCATTTTCCAAGTGTGGACCTTCAGTTGTTGTTACTCCATTGTGAGGCTTGGATGAAACTACAAACAAAAACATTTGAACTTAATTGCATGTTGCCTCTCCTTTCAAAGGAATGTTGTGAAGATCTAACAAAAGGTACACCTTTGTCAAGCAATCCATAAGTTAAAATGTTCAATGTTAGGATCTGACAGAGTATCATGCTTTCACAGAAGATGGAACCTTTGAAATTAGGAGTAGATTCAGAATTTACAAGCTCAGATAGACAACAATGCCTGATGGCAATCAGGGTTTAGGAATGAAATGAAGGTTCCTAGATGAAACAAGAAAGAAATACTCTGGACACCATAACAAGAGGCACACACTGTAGCACAGTCATGACATAAAGAAAGCAAATTCATAAGTTAACATCCATCCATCCATCCATCCATCCATCCATCCATCAATCCATCCATCCATCCATCCATCCATCCATCCACCCATCCCTAAACCTTTACAATCTTAAACCCTGTAACAAAGACAAACAGGTAAAAGATAATTTTAGCCAATGACAAGGAAAGAAATAAAGAAATAAATTACCCAAACTGTCTTTGGGATCACTGAAAACATGAATGTGAAGGTTAATTGATCCTGGGTATGTTGCAGATGGTGCTACAGGGAATAAAACAAGTGTCACAGTTGAGAATAAGCAATGTTTGTCTGAGTCAGAAGATGAGGACAAGTAGCAATAAAGCATTTCACAAAAGAAAATGTACTTCTCACTAAAATGTTATTTATTTAATTACTATAACTATTTAATATATTCATATCATTTGCTCACAAGTAAATCAGACGAGTTCATTTAATTGAGTAACAAACAGAAACAGTGACAAGAACATAATTTTAAAACAATTCATTCTAAATAAAAAATCAGTTTGAAGAAGCATGTCACCAATTACGAGTTTAGTGTTTAATTTCCTATTAAAAGCCAGTACAGTGAGGGCATGATTAATCTTTACAGAGCTGATACTCCTGAGCAACAGCATCACCACCTAGAACTTCCTATCTGTCAGGTTTCATTGCCTGATGGCATGAGAGCAGGAACTAGAAAGTCAATTTGTGAGCAAGATGTTCTGAAAGTAACCGTATCTATAAGTGTTCAGGATTCAAAAACTAAAGGTAAAATTATGGGTGACAGGCAGCTCCAAGAGAGGTACTTTCATGGAAGACTCCCTCATTATTTTTATTTTTAAAATCAGTATAGGCAAGGTGGTAGGTGCCATAGCATCTGTAAGCCCATACTCAAGAGACCCAAGCTGTATAGTATCTCTAGAAACTGCTACTGTTCATGTCTCCTAAACTGAGCAAACTGAGGCCACGGTCACACTAGAGAAATGCCCCTGTTTTCTCACATCTTCTGTTTCCTATAGAGTGGCACATTGTGGTCAAGTGACATATATCCTGTGATAGTGATTCATACATTTTAAAATTGTTCTGCATTTTTTAGTTAAACTAGATGAGGTGTGTTCATCTACACAGCTGCAGCGGGGCATATCCCTTCCTTTTTTGTGTGTGTGTTTCTCTGACCCCCTTTTAAAAAAAATTGTGCAGGTAAATCAGCAAAATGTCCTTGTTGGACACATACTGATCTGTGGCATTTTCTTCTGTTTCCAATGCTGCATTACCCTCAACAGTGGAGAGCCCATAGACCTTTTGAAAGAAGCATACCAAAGCACTGATATTCCCATTTTTTTAATTTAAGGGAGTCGAATGACAGCCGGTGGGGGGAGGGAGGAACCACACACCAGATATAGTGGTTTTTATTGTTTGTTTTATAAATTTTATTTATATGCCACATTTCTCCCAACAAGGGACCCAAAGCAGCTCACAACATTAAAATTCACACAATTAAAAACACAATAAGATAAATATTAAAAGACAAATTAAACAATAAATGATTTAAAATAAAATTAAAAGATTAAAACATGAAAATGATTAAGATTATCTGCTAAAATGGGGTTCAGGGATTCAATCATAATTGTTAAAAGCTTGCCTGAAGAGATGGGTATTTAGCTTTTTCCAAATGTAAAGATGTAAAGGCAATGAAAAGAATGTAAACATGTAAAGGCAATGAATTGAGTTTGTGGTGCACACTCTATGGAATGTTGGTTGTACTGTGCAATGAAACGCATAACAAGTATAGTAATAGCCTCCCAACAGACTGGATTTTATATGGAGATAGGACAGAGAGGGAACAAAATAATCAGTAATGGCTGTACATTGTCTGAACTAAAAAAAGAGGGTTGAAACTCCTGAGGAGTAACTTGTAAACATTTGCTGGTGTGACCGCAGCCTCAGCTTCAGGAGAACTACAAGGGGATAACAAACAAATAAACAAAAAACAAAAAAAAGAGAGAAGAGGTTCTATTTCTTCCCTAAGCCCCACTCATTTTTTTCACCTTTCATTAGGGCCCTGTCAGATTACAATGTGCATTTGAATGTAAAGGATGAGAAGACTCAGAAGCGTAGAAGGAGAAAATGTACCCTTCTTTTGCCACAAGCAATAATTATTAATCAATGGCAAAATCACATCCCGTTTGTTATGTGCTGTCAAGTTGGAACTGACTTATAGCAACCCTAATAGGTCTTTCAAGGTAAGTGGTGTGTGTGTGTGTGTGTGTGTGTGTGTGTCTGTCTGTCTGACTGTCTGTCTGTCTATGTTTTTGTTTTTAAAAACAGCAATTGAAATATTTCAAGATATCACATGTAAAGGTAAATCTAAAACTATGGTACTATTACAAACTTTTCAAACCCTACTAAAATCCTATCTTTACAATATTCCAAAGAATCCAATTACCAGGTTTAGTCTGAGAGACATCTAGTTTGCCAGATGTTTTGGGTTTAGAAGGAATAAGCCGTGTCTCTTTTGGCACTAGAAAAAAGGAATGAAATTGTTATTGTATTTAAGAATCACAAACTAATGCTATATTTAGTTCGTATGAACATGCCATTAAAAACATTAAGTAAAAGTAATGATTCCATGTGTATCTGATAGTGGATTTAAAAAACTTGGCAGTTTAGAACAGTGCAATAATATAGCATTTCTGATAATAAAGAGTGGTCAGACTTTGAAGAAATTGACATCTGAGAGCAGAAACACAAATCAATATGTTACTAGGGATGTCTTGATCAACTTAGAAACCACTTCTGAAATGGATATATGAGAGGTGACCAAAAGTAAGGAGAAGGAGAAGCTGTAAATAAAGTAAGAGGATGTTGATAATGATGCAGGTTATTTATTTTTTGACACTGACAAAAGAATAAACAGCTTCTACATATCACAAAGGACATGTTTACCCATAGTTGTCTTTATTTGTTCAGAAGACAGAGTAGGTTTGATTATAAGTGGTTGTGATGTTGTTCCATGAACTGTTGTTGGAAGGAAAAAGTGAATATCTTTACAAAGCTGTAATAAAGGAAATATAAGATTCATAGAAAAGATGTAACATAAAAATCACAATAACATAGGTAAGACTAGGGGCAGCTTCCAATCTATGGAAAATGATAGCCTTTCGGAAGATTTTCATGTAATCCAAGGAAAAGGGTTCAAAAGCATGCAGTCATGCATTGGTCTTGGCTGATATCATGGCCATCTCTGACAACTAAATTTAAGATTATACTGTATATACATGCAAATGCAAAGATGGATTTAACATCTTACAAAGTTAGGATAAGATCCCTATTTTCTGAATGCTCAATACAGAAATGGGACTATTTGTTTGTAAAAGTTAAATGGTGAGATTTCTCCTGTAACTTTTACTAACTCTATTCACAATTTACAAAGGATGACAGGGAAGATTTCTAAAGCTACAGCAACTTTCACAACAATCAGAAACACAGTCATAAGTGTGTGAATAAAATTAATTTTAACATGTAGAACGTTGTACTTATTAGTAGCTTATTCGTGCATGCAAATGTTTCAACCCTGTCAGATTTTACAACATAAACTGTGCTGGATTTAGGAGCTGATGACAAAAAAGGAAAGTTTCATAATATCTACATAGTGTTGAAGAATCTTATGTCATTCAAAATCTTTATATGTCCAACTATCACAGTAACTCTCCTGACATTCAGGTTAGGAGTTCTTGCTATATTTGGCAAAAATACAATAGTTTCCACAGAGGATGAGGTATGGGGATATCGAATTTTCCTCTCATGACTATAGCTGCTCAAGCATAACCAAGAGGATTTTGCTCTAAAAATATAGAAAGTGAGGTTTGGCAAGGCTAATTATATGAATATATAGAATTACAGAAATGAGTCAATTACCAGGTTTTGTCTCTACCATTCTTGGCCTAGTAGATGGCTTTGATGTACTAGGAATGAATTGTTTCACTGTTGAAGCTGAAATAAAAGTTTAAGCCTGGATTACTATAACCCACAAGAACATATTTGTCCTTCAGTCTGAAAGAAGCAAATATGTAAAAGTAACTGTGGAAGCTTACTATGGAGAAGGTCGAAAAGGAAACACAGACATTATTATTATCATAATCCATACATGCTTTGAATAGCAAGCATAGCAGCAAATATTCTCTCATTTAGTGTTCCCAGTTATGGGACAGGAGAGTCAAAAGACAAAGAAATAATAAAATGAAGTTAAGAATTGCTGTATGGCTGTATGAGTGAAAGATTACTCTACATTATATCAATTAAGCCTTAAGTACAGTCACTTTTTTTAAGTAAATTCAAAGGCATATGGGTCTATTCACATGATGAAACCTTCTTGATCAAGATTAACTTAAGAAATAGCTTTTTGGCCCTCAATATTAACTACTCAAAATTAATCAACTGAATATTAACACAAATTGCTTGTGACTTTAAGCAAATATTGCCAATCTGGGTGGAGTCCTACACATATAAAACCCACTTTTCCAGAGGCTGATGCATCTAGAATTCTCCACAGGCTGCTATTTTTATTTGTGCTGAGATGGGTTGCATGAGCTTTCCCAGATGCTCATTCAGCCTGACTGAAATTTAAGAGGTACCACTTTTATTTAACACGTTCAAGAATAGCCTGCTAGCCTGCTTGTCCTTGCAGAAAAAGTTATATATTATAGAATTCAGTATGTTGTAATATGACATGTTTTATGCTCAAGCAAAGGAAAATCAGTTTGATAAACATATTTGTATATCATGCCTAAATTATATGTGTCTCTTCTCTGTACTCCAGATCAGGTATGTAGTTCTGATGACAGCTGATGAAATGGGTCCATGCCTATAGAAAGTCACATCAGAATAAACAAGCCAGGCTGCATGTGGGAAAAAAGTGAAGAAAAAATGTTTCTCCTCAGCATTAAAAGCAGTGTGTTTCACTACTAGTGAAAATTGTAACTGCTAATTTCAAATAAAGTTCTGCAACTACACATGTTAATTTTCTATATAAATTTGGTGCTTTGTGTCAGATGTTTTACACAAAACTGTTTGATCTATCTATATGTGTAGATTCCCTACTCCTTGCCTTGTGAGCATGTTGCTTTACAGTGTTGCTAATAATCGTTTTTTTTAAAAAAACAACCCCAATAATTATAAATTCTAGCCTATTTTTAATACTTCTACAAAATACATCCTATCAGATTAAGCCAATGTTTAGCCTCCAATGACCAGATAGGCGGGGTACAAACAAACAAACAAACAAACAAACAAACAAATAAATAAATAAATAGTTTACATGCAACCCTTTGTACACACACTAAACATCATCAAGCTTTGGTATTTTTTTAAAGGAATGAAATAACTCAATTTTTCATAAAAATGTTGATACACAATTAATCTTGCTGTCTTTGTTAAACTCATAGAGAGTGATGTGAAAATGCTGCTGGGATCCGAAAAAACGGATCGCTATGCGATTTCGTCGTTATGCGGTGCGCTCGTTAAGCGAGGCACCACTGCAACTCAATTTTTCATTAAAATGTTGATACACAATCTTGCTGTCTTTGTTAAACTTATAGAGAGTGATGTGGAAATGCTGCTGCTTTAATTATTTCTTCAAGTGATTAAAAAGAATCAACAATCAGTGCATTGGGGCAGCTAAGTATGAAAAGAAAAATGGGGTGTTAGTTGTTAGAGCTTCTCCTGGGAATGTCTTCACCTGTAAGAATTAAGAGAAAAAGAATGACTGTGAGTAAATATGATTACCCAATGTTGCCTTTGCCTTTTCAGGAGCATGAGGCATCGTGGCAGTGAAAGATTCTTGAGAGAATGGAATAACTGCTGTTGAAAAAAATGGAGAGAGCATGAGAAGACTAGAGAAAAGTAATGAAACTCTTTTGCATCAGTGTGCCAAGATCGTTCCAAAGAGCTGAACACATTACTTTGATATACATGACAGTGGGTGCTTGCTGGAGGGGGCAGGGTGCTAAACTGCAGATCAGCTGTTTGGCAGGCAAATGAACCACAGTGAACTGCCAAATCAGCAGTTCATGCCCATCTCTAAGTAAAAGCCAATAGTATTAATCCCACACAGGTTCAGAGTACTTTGCAATTGATGTGGTTGTGCGCCATCAAGTCAGAACTGACATACACCAATCCTGATAGGGCTTTCAGGGTAAGTGAAATATTTAAGGAGTTCTGTGGCTAAGTGGAGATTTGAGCTCAGACCTCCTGAGTCCTAGTCCATCACTTTATCCACTACAGGACATTGGGTATCTCTCTTTGTAACTACTCAGTGATAACGAAAAGGAATTCTGCCCATGATCAAAGCCATGGTGATGGTGATTGCACATACTCAAAGAAATTATCAAAGCCATTCTCTGTTGCAGGAAACATACTAGAACTGAACTGTACATCAAAGTAAGACATTCATTTAAAAACACACAAGCCTTTTAGCGTAAGAAAAAATGCAAGTTGTTTGAAAATGAGCTAGTTGATGGACTACGAAATATAAATCCAGCCCACTATCTTAGGCCAAGATGTGCTATCCATGCCCACTTAATACACCCATCTAAAAGTCTAATGACACAGATTTGGCCACAGATATTCTCTAATGTTAAAAATAAGTAGAGGTATGTTTACCTGGTTTTGTTGGAAATATTTTCGGACTAGGTGATGTTTTAGGTTTGGATACAATGCGGCGGTTGCCTTTTGAACCTGAAACAAAAGAACAAAATTATATAAAACTAGCAGTCAGTGGAACAAAAATACACTTGAGTTCCTTTCAGATTCCAACATATTCCTCTGCTACGCCTTGCAAATATGTCACAGTGGAATTCTGTCCCCATTTTATGTGACAGAACTCAGCTTTCCCTCACAAACCAATGTTCTGTGGAAATATGAAAGACTGTAAAATTTCACCTTAAGTTCAGAAACTTGCTATAGAAATTCTCAATCCAATGCCTATAACCCTATTGCAGCACATTTAATCCACATAAGGCTAATGAAATCAAAAGCAGCTGTGATAATCTTTTACAAAATTAAACATTCCTGACTTCTATTCCAAAGCTCCTGAGACTCCCATGTAATCCCTGTCATTGTTGGGAATTTATAAGGCATGGGATGGGAGGACAGGAATCTTTATTTACCAAAAATCACTGCTGGCTGTAAAGTTATCCTGGGGGAAATTTTCAATAATTAAAGAATTTTGCTTCCTGTCCCACAGCATACAGTATATTAGGGCAACAAGATTTCAGCCACTGGAGCCACATGGCATGTTGAAGCCCTTCCCTACAACTATAGTGGAATGCTACAGCTACTGCTTCTTCCATGTTATCTCTTCAGATCCAAATGGGGGGAAATGGACTACTGTCCCTATGGGAAAACAGAACATTAATGAATATTTTCAGTAACAGGTGGACTCCACTCTACTGATTGATTTGGAAAATGCAGTCCTCTTACTGACTCCAAATTTGGTGATATTGCTCCTTGGGATGCTTATTCAGACAAGAATATCCCATTTATGATATGAATATTGTTTCAGTGAAAGAAATCCCATGTATTCACAATTATTTTTTAGCAAAGTTCTAAAAACAAAAGTTTAATGACAGATAAAAATATCCTTTCTTAAAAGACGTAACTGGAAAACTAAGAGAGACAAGACAGCCAAAACCAAATGTGATACCAATAGAGAGAAAAATAGCTGCAATTCTATTTGTGTAACTCCTGCAGCTGGGGATTAGCCATGTTATTAGCCATGGCAATTTTTTTGTAAATTAAACATTTTTCCTCCCAACCATTTGTCCAGAGTAATTCCTTTTATTGTCAGGAACCTGTGGGCACCTCAGGATAGAGAGCAAATATTTAATTTCCAGAAAGCTTACCCTGGCTGGTGACATCATCAGCCTTATGCTACAGAATTTACACAAACAGAATTTCAGACAGTATGAAACAGGATGTGCACTAGTGCATTTTAAAAATATTTTGACCATAGTCAAAAGTTTCAAGTTACTTACCGTAAGTTAAATTAAAACTGGCAATATAGCATAGACGACCTTTTGAAAGAGAATCACTGTAGTGTAGTGGATGTAGGGATAGACTGGGGCTCAGGAAACCTGGGTTCAAATCCCTGCTCTGACATGGAGACGTACTGGTAGCTGGTACCTTAAATATCTCACATACCTTGAAAACCCTATGTGGGTCGCCATAAGTTGAAAACGCCTTGACATTAAATAACAACAGCAACTCTTCAAAGTGGAAAAAGGCTATGCATACAGAGCAACAACAGAAGAAGACCATCTATGGAAGTATCCTTTACACAAAGCATTAGAAGAGAAATGATGTGTTCTGTTAGCCTAACATGTGATTAAAAAGGGAAAACAGTGTTGTGGTTGCTAAGCAGTGATTCATTTATTTTATATTCGGCTGACGTTTTCCTTCTTCATTCTCAACAGATAAGAAAATAGGCAAAATTACATCTGACTGTTCTGAATAGTTCTAGCTATATCTGCAACATACTCTGCATACATTTTCATCAAGTTTATGTGATATTTGTTTTATATTGATTTGTTAGTTGAGTCTGGTAAAATCTGTAAATAAAAAGGGTTTTCATTATGCTAGCAAATTCCTACAATAAATAGATTATTTTTTAAAGTTGCTTTCTCATATCCACATATGTTGCTTCTATACCCAATGCAATTCCTAGTGGAGGAGATGTTATATGCTAACATTATCGATGGACATTTCCTTTTTAAATAAAAAGAGGCTCCTTTTTTCTTTTTTCTGTTGAGTGCTGAACAAGAGTCTCCAAAACACAAATTATTTGTATTGATGAAGGAGGGAGACAAAAATGGGCCTTGTGACACAGTGGTTAAACTGTAATGCTGCAGCCAAAACTTTGCTCACAGTGTGGGTTCAATCCCAGGTAGCCAGCTCAAGATTGACACAGCCTTCCATCTTTCTAAAGTCAGTAAATTCAGCACACAGCTTGCTGGGGGGCAGCGGCAATGTGTAGACTGCATAATTAAATTATAACTTACCAGAGAGTGCTGTAAGTGCTATGGGGTGATATATAAGCAGCACACTTTGCTTTGTGTGTTTGTGTTTTCATTATTTCCTCTTTTATTTAACCTTTCTTTTACCCTTTGTCTGTCAAATTGCCTGTGCATTTTTTAATCCAATATCATCCCTGGAGTTGTTATTGCCCATCACAATGTCTGGGGGGGGGGAGTGGGAATTTTGAATTTGTTAAGTGGCCTTGATTGGTTGGAACCCACTTGGAAGTGCTCTCTGCTTCAGTCATTTCTTGTGGGTGTGATTAGAGATGGGCATGAACTGAACCACAAACCAGAAAAAACAACGAATAGGCTGGTTTGTGATTCAGTTTGCGGCCCAGTTTGGAAATCCTGTTTTACCAAAACAAAATGAAGTGCTGAACTTTTTTCCCATTGGTGCTTCATCCCCTTCCCACCTCCCTACCTGGTCCTGCTGCCGCCACCACTGCCATGATCAGAGACAATGGGTTGGCTTTCCTTCCAGGAGCTGAGCCTGCTGCCTCTGTGCACACACTCTCTGCCCAGTTGATAGTGCGCACATGCACAGAAGCTGTGGCCAGTTCCACAAAGGGAAGCTGGGGGTCGGGCACATGCACAAAGGCAGCACACCTGACTCTTGGAAGGGAAGTGCAATGGCAGTGGTGGCAACAGCAGCGGCAATGAAGCTGGTGCAATAAGAACAGGTAGCCCCCCCCCGGCATGAACCAAACAACAAACTGTGAACTGACTGATGCCCATTTCTAGGTGTGATTACTGTACACTTCTGAACTCCTGTTCTGCCTGCCTGCAACTATGCTTCCATCTTGAATTCTCTCCTTTCACCCTTTCCCTGTTTGATTAATTATTTTAAACATACTATTTGACTTATTTACTGTGTATTTATTTTATTAAAAGTATTCATTTTGGTGGGGTTTCTTGGGACTGTTTTGTTTGCTTCTGTGAGGGTATATGGACCAGTGGAGTGGACTTTGTAATTGTGCTATTGAACTTTGTAGGTGGTCTTTGTTCGTAGCTGTACTCTTGTCTGTTTTTGGAGCAGACAGGTCATCTGTTGCTTTGTGTCTCTGCATTTTTGAAGTAGTTTTAAAGGTTTCCATAGACCTTCTCGGATGCCAGATAACACAAATGGAAACTCAAAATGAATTACCCTCAATAGACTTCCCCTTTTGTGAAAATAAATGGCCAGTACATGAAAAATACAAAAACAAAAGAGACAGCCTGTGGCAATCACCCTGCTGTGGCTCATGTAGGAGGATATTTGCATATACCAATGGGAGCTGTTGGGAGGCAGAGCCAGTGAAAGTACATGAAAAATACAAAAACAAAAGAGATAGCCTGTGGCAATCACCCTGCTGTGGCTCATGTAGGAGGATATTTGCATATACCAATGGGAGCTGTTGGGAGGCGGAGCCAGTGAAGCTAGAGGGAGGGATGAGGCAGAGAAGAGGAGTTTAGTCAGTGAGTCAGAGACAGTGAGAGATGAGAATCTGAAGTGAAAAGTGAGTTAGTCTGTGGGAGTTAGAGAATGTGGTAGAGTTAGGAGTTAAGGGAGGCAGTTAAGAGTGTGGAACTTATAGAGAACAAGTTATTACTAAACTACTGAATAATTTAAAGTCTATGAGGACCCTGTTTATGCGATCTGTAAACCTGTTTTGTTCCACTTTACACTCAGTATGGACCTCAATCTTTCTAATTAAACATTGTTGACAGAGATCAACCGGTGGCAGCGTAAAGGAGGGAATCTGTTATGGGCCTCAGGCTAGTGAAATAACCTGGGGACAGGGACACATCACACAGCTCCACAAGAGAAATGAAACAAATGTGAAAACATTTCATCATGTTCATCCCTACTGAGTATAATTCTACAGAAATTCAAGATAATGAGTAACTTACTATGTTTTGTTGGTTTTACACCAGAGCTGGGAGATGTTTTTGGTCTAGTAGTCACTCGACGTGTTTCTTTAGGAGCTGAAAAAAATTAATCATAGGTCTTTGTATGTGATACAACTGCCCTGGTACTGGCAAATGAAAAGAATACAAGTATGCATCCATTCTACAGTGAATACTAGAAAAAATAACAACATACCAATAACATCAACAATGTGCATGCATAATGATGATTAATATAATAAATATAAGTATAAAGAGACTGATGAAATAACAAGTGGAGAAATGTATGAAATGCTGTGAAAAATCAATTGAGGTAGTTGTGAAGAAAGCAACATGATCAGACCATCTAATTCCTCATGCAAATAGCTTTCTGTAGTTTTTCTTAGAATGAGCATCTTATGAATCATAAACAGCTCTTGAGATTCCTCTCAATTTCAATGACATTTTTTCCATAGGGTTGCGGGTGGTTGTTAAAAAAAAACCAATTTAAAGCACTTGGTCTAATTGGACTATTTTTACAGTTATTTAGATTTTAAGTAATAATATAACATAGGAAAACATTATAATGCACTGAGGCTTTGTTGTAGGAGAAGAAAAATAAGGCAGGATTAGGTTGAATGTGATGCTAAAGGCACAATTAATAGCCATATTTGTGGTTTAAACAATATAAACAGAAAGCATTGAGATATGAGATCTTAGGTTTCACTAGTATCATAGTGCATAGAGGAGGAAGGTTAACTTTTTCCTTGCCTACTATGGTCGTGACCTGTAGTAGTTTGAGTGTACATAATGTTTTTGGGACCACAGCAAGGGGAAAAAAGTGAAACCTCCTTTCCCTGGATATTGTTGTCCTAGTGAAAGTTGGGTCTCCTGTAAATATGGTTTAGCACCACATCTAAGCTGGGCTCTGGCTGTATTCTAATGTGCCATTTAAAAAATCCTGAGAAGAGCTTGTGCAAGGCCTGATGCAGAAATTTGTGGAACTAGAAGAATTTACGTGGATTTGGTGTTCCTTGCTCATTCAACATTCCCCTACTGGGTTGGTACCAACTCTTTCCAAATAAAAGAGGCCATTTGCTACCAAAAGACCATATTTGAGTCCAAGCCCCTGATTCCAACATTGTGATTTCTAGTTAATGTGCACTCTTCATGCAACTCTATAATTTTTGTTAACTGAGTTTTGAAGATTGTGGACTTTCAGCAAGCATTTCTTAAACCTAGCAGAGCAATGTGACTTTAGTAATGCCATGGAAGAGATAATAACAGTCAAGCTAAAAATCATAATACTGTGATGTAATACTTACAGTTACAAGTAATAATATTTGTGGTAACTACAAATAAGAATGATAGAATTCTGGCTATTAGTAATTTAAAAAGAAAAGTAATGTAAGTGAACTATTAATAAGCTTTTACCTATTGTTGGTTTGAGTTGTTCAGTTTTAAAGGTAACCACTTCCATGTCTGCATGAATAATATTAACAAATAAAAATTCCAATATTAAGCAACAGTCTTATAAATCATTACAACACAAAATGTGGAGAACCATTTTCTATATTAGTGACTAGCAGTCAACAAGTTTGCAATTCAACTACCAGTGGACTTTATTTGGTCAACATCAAGTTGAGATCCATGTTACAAATTTATCCTTTGTATACATTTGTATGCAGCAGCTTATATATGTACTATATAAGCTGCTGCGTAAAACTCTGCTTATATCAGTGGTTCCCAAGCTTGGGTCCCCGAATGTTCTTGGACTAAAACTCCCAGAAGTTACACCACTAGCTGTGCTGGCCAGGATTTCTAGGAGTTGTAGCCCAAGAACATTCGAGAACCCAAGCTTGGGAGCCACTAGCTTATACAATATTGTTTAAAACACCCATTATTGTTGTTATATGCTGTCAGGTTGGAACCATCTTTTGTGACTCTAATTGGGCTTCCAAGTTAAGGGAGATATTTAAGCAGTGGCTTTACCAGTTCCACAACTCCAGTGGGTTTTCATGGCTGAGCGGGGATTGAAACTAAGGCCTCTTCATCCTGGTATCAAGACAACTGTATTGTGTCTTAAAGTAGGAGGGTTGTATGTGCAGATGAAGCAACTATGGGATCTACTTATATAATTACAAGGAGTGAATACTGCAATTTTATTCGGCTTTCATTAACACTTATTTAGAATATAGATATTAACGCTCTACTTAAGAACGTCCCTACTTAAGAACAATCCAACTTAAGAACAGCTCCGTTTGCTAAATTTTGCTTCTACTTGAGAACTGAAATCCAAGATAAGAACAGGGAAAAAAAAACTTTCCTGCTCTTTTTTTAACCTTAGGTCATCTTAGGTTAAAAAAAATTCTCCCCATAGTGGTAGAGTACGTATTAACCAGCTTTGGTTAATGTACGAACGCACCTCTACATAACAAAAAAACAGCCAGAACGGATTAATTGGTTTTCAGTCCATTCCTATGGGAAATTTTGCTTCAACTTAAGAACATTTCAACTTAAGAACACCATTCCAAAACGGATTAAGTTCTTAAGTAGAGGTTCCACTGTAGTTTCTATGGACGGAAAAGAGCAGATATGGATTAAATGGTTTTCAATGCATTCCTATGGGAAATGCAGATTCAACATAAGAACTTTTCAACTTGAGAACCACCTTCCTATACGGATTAAGTTCTTAAGTAGAGACCCCACTGTATTTAGAATATAGATATTAACACTGGGGAGCCTGCAGGCAAATCATGTTACGCTCATCATTATAAGCTACTAGCTATCAGTGCTTATTGAAAGAAACAACTTCCAGCAATCAAAAGCTACTAACAAAATATTTTTTGCAACTAGTTCTAGAATTGTCAATTATCAGTGCTCCTTAGCAACAACCTCTTCATTTGATACAGATCAGTAAAACAGGACTTTAGTTGATGATGAGAGAGCCTTATATTGGGATCCAGAACAATCTTAGTGCAGAGATACTTTCACATGGCAGATGCCACAAAAAGAGGTCCCTTAACCCAATGAACTTGAACAGCATGAACAATAAACAACGATGTAATAATAAATGAGTGAGTTAATAAAAGTTCTGTTCAGTATTAAGTAGCTGAAATGCAAATATAAAAACCAATGAAAACATATTAGACAGATATGGATTATAAGCCACAGATTTTGCTTGCTAAACTTCTCTGAATATTGCCTCACATATGCACAAAGATAATGAATTAATTCAAGGAAAACAGGGAGAAAGTTACCAGGCTTGGTCTGTGGTACATCAGGGGTAAACCATGTTTTAGGCCTAGAAGACACAGGGCGTCTCTCTTCTGGAAATAAAATGTACAGCATACCATAAGTCGTTCAAAAATGTCATCCTGACACAAGAAGCACTAAAGGTAAGCACAGCCTATGTCTGCTTTATGAGAAGTGATCATCAATTTCTTTTATAGCTTATGGGAAAGAGGATCAAAAGAATTTTTTTTAAAAAAGTGTACTTTTGATGGCCTACAATAAACCAACTTAAACATCAGGACTTACAAAAGTGTTTTGATGGCCTACAATAAACCAACTTAATCATCAGGACTTACAAAAGTGTTGATTTAACAAGTCTCATTCATTTAAGGGCCCTCTTCTATTTGGGACTATGGATTCAGCCAGTGTAGTTATCGCCTAGGACAGAATCGGGCAAGCTCCAGAGGCCTGGAAACAGACACTAGATCTGGAGTTGGGGACTATACTTCACTCCCATGACTTCCATCCCAAGCTTTTTTTTTTCAATGTAAATAGGGAAGGTGCTGAAAAAGCCATTTTATGCCCTCTAATGGCCATTAAAAAAACTTGGGGAAGAGCTGGAGTCATGAAAAGCCATTTTATGCCCTCTAATGGCCATTTAAAAAAAAAACTTGGGGAAGAGCTGGGGTCATAGGAGTGCTTGGGAGTTCCCAAAACATGGTTATGGTGTGGAAGTGCTGAGAGGCACATTGGGATTAAGGGGGTCTCTATGTGGCCCAATGTGATCTGGGATAATTGTAACATAGAATGAAAAGCCTAATGAACAAACTTATATAATTTATGCCCTCTAATGGCCATTTAAAAAAAAAACTTGGGGAAGAGCTGGGGTCATAGGAGTGCTTGGGAGTTCCCAAAACATGGTTATGGTGTGGAAGTGCTGAGAGGCACATTGGGATTAAGGGGGTCTCTATGTGGCCCAATGTGATCTGGGATAATTGTAACATAGAATGAAAAGCCTAATGAACAAACTTATATAATTAAAGTTTATAAAACATCATTACCAATTTCTAACTTTGGTGGTTCAGTTCTCAGTGCAGTAGGTTTCAGGACTGTATAGAAACAACATTAAAAATATACTTTATTTTAAAGATGCATATCTTGCAGTTCTTGTAAAAGAATGGAAACCAGTTAGACAAAGTAGAGGAAGAATAAAAACCACGTAAGAACAAATAATAAAATACAGCAGACAACAAAAATACAAAATAAATAATATAATGGAATAGAAATGGAAATCATTCCCCGCCCAAAAATAAATAATACTGATTTATGTTAGTGATACAGAATAATGTTTCAAGGCTTATATTCAAAGTAAAATAACGTTTAAGCCTTTAAAATGTTTGTGTCTATTTTTGTTATGTTATTTCTATTGACTGGTTGGCTGGATAGCTCAGTGGTTTAGATATCTAGTTGTGGAACCAGAGGCTGGGAGTTTGATTCTCCACTGTGCCTCCTATGACCAGAGTCAGCCTGGATGGCCTTGGGAAAAGTGCACAGCCCCTCTCCAGAGGAATGATAAACCACTTCTGAATACTCTCTACCTAGAAAACCCTGAAAAGGGTCACCGTTAAGTCAGATTTGACTTAAGAGCACATGATAATGATTTCTGTTGAACTCCAGGAAAGTTTATGTCTGACTAATGCAAAATGTATGTTTGTGTGCTTATGTGTGTGTGTGTGTGTGAGTGAGTGTGAGTGTGAGTGAGAGAGAAAGAGAGAGAGAGAGAGAGAGAGACCTTTGCTTATCATGTCTTACAAACACACAGTCTTGGATTCAAAAAACTGCAGAGAGAGAGACCTTTGCTGCTACTACTACTAGTGCATAATTATGAAGATAAACATCCACTGATATCATGTCTTACAAACACATAGTCTTGGATGCAAAAAACTCCAAGCACAATTCTGTTTGCAAAATGGGCATTTTTAGGTGGACCTGTTTCCATGTGCAGCCCTTATGTCCCACTAAAAATTCCCTGAGTGTCAGGGAATTATCCAGATTTGGTGTTTGATGCAGTATGTATGTATGAGTTTGTGTGTGTAAATAGGAGTGGGTGATTGCAGTTGCAGGGGAGAGAAAACTTCAACAAATGAGACACTCCACGTTTGCATCCAGTTTCAGCTACAGCATCAACAAATACAAACCATTATTCATTTATATTTTTCATAATTACACGTGCTTAAACCTTATTGGAAGTGATCAGGCTGCATTACTGAGGGCAAAAATGTGGCAGTACTATTTTATTGTCTCTCTCCCTTTAAAAAACTACAACATCCTGCCAAATAAAATTAAAATTAAAATATGACAATTTAGGAAAATTACCAGGTTTTGTATGTAGCACCTGAGGGGTAACAGTAGTTTTAGGGCTGACAATATGAGGCTTGGGTTTTGGAGCTGAAAGAGAAAAACAAATGGTCCCAAAGGATTAAAACCTTTCTTATAAGGACACTATTGGTTGAAGAAAGAAAATCATGCTGTAGATAATAAGTATACAAAGGCAGACACACAAAAAGACTGTAGAGGAAAGAAGTGTCTTAATACATATAAAAGAGATTAGTGTTGACAAACTATGTGATTCATGGCAATTTCTGGAGCCCAGCTTTAAAAAGTAATGTGAATCAGAAACATTGAGGACTTGATTGTAGGGTGACGCAGCTATTTCGAGCCATTTCAAAGGAAACAGAATCACTGTGCAAGGAAAGAAAAAAACTGTGGAATAAATGAATAAAAATTTTCCATGCTACATGATCAACATACCTAGAGAAAATATGAATTTTAATGGGAAAAATGGATGATGTTAGATGATCTTGCAGAGGGAGAAAATGGAAATGGGTTTCTGAGCCAAGAAAGTAAAATGGCAAGATTGGTCAGTGCATTAAGAAAACACCAATTACCTACTATTGGAAGTTCATTGCTAAGTGTAACTGATTCCAGGACTGCACCAGAAAAAAAGGGAACCATTAAAAAGAGAAAAACTTTCAAGATTGAACATAGCTGCATTAACTGACAAACATAAAGACAATAAGCACAGCAATATTTTATAATAGGGTAGATGTTAATGCTAGTTAGTAACTACAATAAAATATGACTTCTTTCACTATATTTACTCCAGGTTCTTTTGTAAGATCCATCTATGCAAGAAGGCCTGCAGACATTTGTATGGAGGTCTAGTCTTTACACTGCTGCTGCTTGTTTTGACTGTTACGATATGTTTTCACTGTAGATTTACAATTTCTGCCTTTATTTTATTTTTTCCAAAAAAAAAAAAAGATATATAAATGTTTCCTTGTCACTGGAAAATGTTACAATTATTTTTAAGAAATACATTTACTGACGATTGCCTTCTCCATCCTCATTGTGACAGTTCATCTACATGGGAGATAACTACTGCAGATTTGAATTTGATCAGCTTTGTAATTCATTTAAACTTCCCATTCACAATTTTAAGTGCACCTAGAAATGTTGAAATGGTTAGTTAACCTATTAACCCATAGTTCAGGCTTATGCTTGCTTCAGTGCCTAGATTACTTGCAGTCCAGAAAAGAAGGCCAGTCAGCAAGATGTCCTTTACAACTTCTCTGCAAGTGTACTACCGTAACTTTAAAGCATGTTCAAGATCATGCTGTACCAGAGGTACGTTACATATAAGAACACAGCCGCTTTTCAGGTGTTACAAAGTCAGACCAGATCCATTAGCTACTCTCTCTATACAGAAGGATGCTGAAAATTGGGGCAGAGAGATGATGAAGCTAATGTGCTCAAACACACCCTCTTTCCTTGCATGACACAGGTCCCCCAGCTCTGTTTAGTAAAGTTGTATTTTTGGCCCACCAAGATACCAGCTTTTATACAGCAATACAATCTTTTTAAACCCATGTTGACGTATATTTGCATTCATGCCAAAGCTTTGCTTGAAATTCAGTTAAAATCATAGAAAGTGATTTGAGGCCCGGAAGGAGAAAACTAGAAACCAGGCCTTCTCGGCGGTCGCCCCTCGGCTATGAAATACTCTCCCTATTGAAATTCAGCTGGCACCCTCGCTGGGTGTTTTCAAAAGTCAATTAAAAACCTGGTTATTCAAACAGGCCTTCCCTCCAGTCAATTAAGAGACCTTTTCTTTCTTTTTCTTTTTTGAGGTTAGCCATCTTGAATAGTATTAATTATAATAATTGCATTTTAAATGTTATTTATACAATGTCTTAATTATGTTTTAACCTATGTAAGCCGCCCCGAGTAGACGCTGTCTAGAGGGGCGGGGGAAAAATCGAATAAAATAATAAATAAATAAATAAATAAATACATGCATGAATAAAATTGTTCCTAATTCTCACATGTGTTCATTAAATCTGTGGAAAAACAATAAACTATGAGCCAGTTTGGAGTTGTACATGTTTACATAATCTGTGCCCGACTAAATGGAATGTAGGCAACATGATGAACTGAGGCCTACCAGATACATAACTCATTTTCTTTTTTCAGTTTCCGATTAGAAAGTAAACAGATAGGATTTAGTAAACTCCTGATGGGCTATCATTTATGGCTTTTAGGTACCTTCCAGATTGGCTATACAGGACTTTAATATGGAGTTGAATATGGAATGATGGGTTCAAATTTTAAATTCATTTTCATTCATTAGTTGGTATCCTTTGTCAAGTTACTAGCTTCAGTCTAATGTGCTAAGGTTGTTATGAAGATAAAACAGGGTAACATGTTTATGATAGTCTTATCTTCTTAGAAAGAGAGCAGAATATAAATGTGGTTGGATAGCGAAAGGGCAACAAAAATTATGTAGGGCAATTATGTTATTGGCCCATATCAATAACATAGCTATATATCAACAGTGAATAAGTTTGGTTCTGTGTAAGTTGACCCCCTCCCTTGGGCGTCTTTAACAGGTATCCACCTGTAAGGCCTTCTCACTCTCTTGGCTACAGTGCCAGCTGATTATATTCTTCCATCATACCTCTCCATCCACCACCAATACATTCTGACTAATGACCATGCTGCTTAAGGCTTTATTAGAACCCTTTACAAAATAATGTAATTACCAGTGTTAGTAAATGAGTGTTCTGGTGCCACGGATAGTTTAAAAGAGAAATTATCTGCTTCGATGGAATCTGGGGAGGGAAAAAAATATCAGCAAATCATTCAATTATCTCTAACTTGAAGGACATGTCTATACACATCCTTGTTGAATAAAGCTCAAATTCTGTTCCCCTTAAAGACTATGTGGGTTTACACATATTTACTTGGGAACATGTTTATATTTTCAGTGGGCCTTTGCCTCTGGATTACACTTAAGGCCTAATACTAAAAAACTAGGAGATCAAATTAGTTCCACATACCCCAGTATACTTCGAATATGTTGTTCTTAAACTGTGACATAGCTTCCCATCCTGTATGCCAAATTGCTTTAAAACTCAAAACTGAACTCTCAATGTACCTGTCCAAGCCCTTGAAACTAAGAATATTTCATCTGAACCAGATCAAAAGCCTATTTAATCCATCATTTTCATCCAATAGTACCCAGTCAAGAGTCTTACAGAAGGCCCGCAAGCAGACCATGAGCCCAAGAGCACTCTCCCATTCCTCATCCCCAGCAACTGATATTGAGAGACATTATGAGCAGTTCATTCCATTCCTTTTAATACTCCTTTTCAGCACTTTGTTTCAATCACAATGTTTTTCATCCTATTCTATGTCCTCCTTTCTCCTTCCAGTTGTCACTATACAATATACTATATACTATATACTAAATACTATATACTATATATACAATATACTATATAATCCCACATAAGCAGGCTTCAAATCCTAACACACGTCAATGGAAGATATCATTCTGTGCATATAATTTATACACTGATGTAGCTGGCCACTCTTTTTAAATAAACTGAGGTCCAAATTATATGTAACATGACTGTCTCATTTTCTGTGGCCTCTTTTATTTGTAGGAATGGATAACAGTTTTCTTTAGGACCATCACACTAATAGCTCCTGAAGGAATTTTCCCACTAATTGATGGCAATGGATGATACAAAGTGGTCATTTTCATTAAGATGATTGTGGGAAGGAAAAAAATTACCGTATTTTTTGCATCATAAGAGGCACTTTTCCCCCACAAAACAGGGAGGTGGAAAGTCTGTGCGTCTTATGGAGCGAAGAAAACAGATTATATTTTCCTGTTTTCTTCTCCTAAAAAATTGGTGTGTCTTATGGAAAGGTGCGTCTTATGGAGCAAAAAATACGGTATCTCTTTTCCATATACCACGGTCACAACAATTTCATGCCTATCACTAATTGCTAAGTAATAAAACCAAAAGAGATGCAGCACCTAGTGATTTACTCAGTCTCATGTCTAGGCCACTCTGTTGCATTCCCAGGAATTTCATACAGCTAGCGGAATCTCAACAGATGACCACTAGATTGGAATAATTTAAATTGGCTATTCATAAAAATAAATAAATAAATAAATAAATAAATAAATAAATAAATAAATAAATAAATAAATAAATAAATAAATAAATAAATAAATAAAGCACATAAGTAGTTTTTATATCATAAACTGAAACAGTTCGGCATTTAATTTTTTAAAACTATACTGATGAAACATCAATGGATTGTTTCATATTGTAGTACAAATAACTAAAATAATGTTTATAAGTTACTCTACCAGGTTTGCTATCTGGTACTTCTGGAATGGTAGATTCTTTATATTTAGAAGGAATAGAACTCAGTTCATAAGAAGCTGGAGAAGAAAAAAAATAAACCCAGTGCAGAATTAATTCATACTCTATTGACAGCAACAGACAGACAGATACACACACACATATGCACACACTTTAATGTTAAATAGGAATAATGCCTTGTTAAATAATCTCAAAACCAGAAAATAATATAATATGAATATTGATGGTGGAATATACTGAGGCAAAATTAAAAGTGTGGGATATTTAACTACAGAGCACTATTAGGAAATTTTTGTAAAAAGATCATTCAAAATAAGTGTTAAAGAAGAGACAGGTTTAGTGGGTTAAGGATGAGTTAATGGCTTTCTAGCTCAGTAAAAGAAACTTATAATTTCCTGATCAAAGCAAGGTACTAATTTTCAGCGGAGACAGGGCTACTGAAACCAGTTGAGACCATGTTGTTCAAACACAGCTGTTCAGTTTAAGTGTGCTATAAATATGGCTGAAAACAACATGCCTGGAAACACATTTAATTTGTTTCCCTTGTCACCTGCAGCTTGGACATTAGACATAGAAATAATTCATATTAACAGAGGTGTGCTAAGGATGAAGAAAGAGCGTGAAAATGTAATGGTAGGAATGAGGAAAGTGGCTTTATTAATAAAGAAGGGGCAGCCCTTCCATGCAGTGCTATGAAGTGACCATATCAGAGAGAGGAGGGTATTTAAAGTCAGCAACTGAAGTCTGGATAGAGTCTGGTATTGGAGAAGGGTGCCACTTGGGCTCTAAGGCAGCAAAATATCTCAGGCTGCTGTTGCAGCAAAATAAATAAGCAAGGATGGATAGGCAATGGAGATGCAGCCCCTTGTGTTTCCTAACCACACCTACAATTCAAATGTTCCCCAGCATTGCCTACCTTTTGTCCAAAAACTCCTGAAGGATTTCACTTTGCCCTTCCTTGATCTACAATTTCCTTTCCCTGAGTCAGATTCCTTAATGTAAAGAATACACTCAAGAATTTGGCATGACCGATTTTCATGGGACAGGACTCAGTATATTACAGAGCCCACTTAGACTTTCTCAGGCGCATCATCTGTTTAATCGTCATGCCCCAGAAATTTTTCAGCCAATCTGGTTTGAATAACCAGTTGATTCAAACCATCATCACTCTAACTTAATTATCGAAGATTTCTGGAGCATTCTTCCACAGTGGTTTTGAGTCTGTTAAATATTTAAAATGAAAACCTGAAGATTCCTTATGACTGCAATGGGAAAATGCGAATACAATCAGACAGTACCCTAATGTTATTTATTTTGAAAATAAAATCAATTTAATGTATCTTGCTTACAAATGTTCACAGTTCATATACTAAATAGTTTTTCTGGCAGTGATTGGAAGTATTATAAAAACTGACAGGCAGGAGGCCTTGGCAGCTGGAACAATGTATGAAGAAAACTGGGGCTGTTGGAATCAAATGCTAACTAGATGTGTCTACTGTAATTAAGAGTGATGAAATAAACTCAGACATCACCTAATAAGATGTGTCAGCCATTTCCATACTTTGGTTTGAATTATGCCATTCTAGAACTGGCCTTAATGCAAAGGGAGCCAAATATTGAAACAAGTATTCCAAGAGATAGTCTTAAGTTTAGTGTACGATACAGTTTTTCTGTACCTTGGCATGATTTTGCATGCAGCCTACTGAGCTGTGAAGCATGTAAAAGGAGAGACAGGTTGAACTGTAGTCCTAGCTCTGCCAAACATAGGCCCATGCTCCTACCTCAACATGGCACAATATCTGGAGTGTATGCTATCTGTAGCATCCATCCTACAGGTTGTCTACTCATGTTTGAGAGTTTCAGAATTTAAATAATATTAAATTAGACAAATAAAAATAATTGAAGATATTAGTAGATCATAAAGGATAAGTAAGGTAAGCCAACTTCTTGTATGGCTGCAAAATTAACAAGCAGCACATGTGAATGACATTCTAATAATAATAACATACAATGAAGAAATAATGCTAATTCTATATTTGAAAATTCTAGTGAACTTCTGATGCAGAACATGGTAACATAAAATGCACAGGTACAAGGAGAAAAATTCCTTTAAAATGAAAAGATATGTGATATGGTGCAAAAAAGCTGAAATAAAAGATATTACCCATAGTTGCCTCTGGATAGCCAGTAATGTAAGAAATCTTAGTCGTGGGAGGAACTGGAATCAATCTGTGAGTAACTGCTAGAGTAAATAATATTATTTTCAGATAGATAAAAGGAAAATTGAGTGTATAAGATTTCAGAACTAATATTTTAAGTGTGCATTGTATATACAGTTAGAATAACAAATCATTTTGGACTATCTGCCTAATCATAAAAATTAAGAGCCAGGTTCAAATAGTTGCCCAGTTATGGTTGTAGCTTAGTGGGCTGTGTCATATCAATGCATTTCAGCATATCATATCTCTAGGTTACTCTGAGGATAAAACAGGGTAGTCAGACATATGTTAGCCTGTGCAGATCGGTTAATGAGCTATGATATTAAAACAATTATAGAATAAAATAGCAGGACTTGTTGCAGACAAAATTTTTGAGAGCTGAATTGATAATTACCTACTAGGACTTCCACTTGAAAAAATTTAGAGCATCTTTACACTACCATGTTATCATCAATGAATGTGTCATCATTATGAATAATATAAATAATACAGGCTGACTCTAGAAGCTTTACTACTATAAGTACCAGAGAAGAAAACAAATGCCTTAAAGACACTCATTTTTAAGGATAATCCATGGTACAAAAATGCTTTCTTGCTTTTCTTTATTTATTTCTTTTTTTCTTTTCTTTTTTTGATAGAGGAAAGACAATGAACAGTTCTACAGAATACTACCGGTACTTAAGATGGAGAAAATGAAGTTTGAGGTTAGTTAAATGGACGTATGGTTTGATATATTTAGCATATATCAGCTATCTGAGGAAAGGACATCAGTCAAAAGCATCTTTTCCTAAACATTCACCCTGCCAATCTGGCACATTTAAAACCCTTTCATTGCTAAAGTCAAACAGGAAACTGTACACAAGGGAATGATGTCACCATCATAAATGTCCAAAGCCTTTTGCAAGTTCGAGCTAACATTTCCTGTCTAAATTTACAGCTGGGTATACAAGAGGGTACCTGTTATTTTAGTTAAGAGACTGATTTGTGGATTAAATATCATAAACTTTGCTCATAATCAAAAAAGGGCATGTGGCATTGATTTAAAAGGAATGTGTCTTGTGCTTATGCACAGTTTTCCTTCTTAACAGTATAGAAATTATTTTTTCCAATTGAACAAAAATTTAAAGACAGTAAACATATTCGCAAAGGCTTTCATGGCTGGGATCTAATAGATGTTGTGGGTTTTTCGGGCTCTTTGGCCGTGTTCTGAAGGTTGTTCTTCCTAACGTTTTGCCAGTCTCTGTGGCCAGCATCTTCAGAGGACAGCACTCTGTGCTCTGGTGTAGTTGGCTTGGGAGGGCAGTATTTATGGCTGTGAGATAGGCTTTTGTCTTTTTCTATAGATGGGTGATTAGTGTGTCTTTTTTGTGGGTGAATTGTTGTGATAAGGAGAAGAGATTATCTGTCACTGTGGTTGATAGGTGTCATTAGCTGGTCTTTTGTGTGTAGTGATCACCTGTCCTTGTGGCTGGGTAGAGTTCGTTGACCTTTTGCACGCTGTATTTTTGAATGAAAATTAATAAAATGTCAATATTCATTGCAGAGGTCACAGCTGTAGTCTCTCATTTAAATCTTCTCATGAATCTTTACCAAAATATACCCGTGAAGTCACCGAACACAGCTGTACCACAAATCAAGTAACAGTCCACTAGTAGAATGGGCTGCACATGAGTGTATGTGTGGGTACATGCACACACACAGTCCCCTATCCTTCTCAAAAGTTGGTCATGTGAAACATCCATTCAGCTTGGGGGATTCCAAGTCAGCAGTCAGGAACAACCTCTAAAGTCCTGACTCCAAAGTATTGGATGGAAAACTATGTTCATGGCATATGCAATCTCCATTCCACCAGTGGATGCATGCTTCACACATATTATCCTTACTGGGGCAGGACACAATGCCCCTTTCACATATATGTGTTATAGACATTATAAAACAGGAAAAAATGTGCTAGCAAATATTTTAGAGCACATTCTCCATATTTAATTTACACATGGATGGGCAATTGGGCCCCTTTTGATTGTACCTGGCTCTTGACAAAGGTCTATTAGACACCTTCCTGTATTACACTGGAATTATATTTTGTGCTACTTTAAACTCAACAGAAACCTACTTATAGTCTAGAAGATAATCTGATCATTTATTGAACTGAGGTGATGATGATAATCAAACTATTTGCATGGTGAATATTATTGGAGAGACTATACTGTACTCTTAACTACTTGCCTATTACATGTCTGGCCTTGTAGGCTAATGCAATTGGCCATTGTTGGTTTAAAGTGTTCAGCTTCCAACTTACTAAAACATAATAATTTATGGGTAATTTAGTAGACTTGGGATACATTATTAAAACCAGGACAAACATATCACATAATTCTGTGTACTTCGTTGGAAATGATGTTGGGTGAGGTGGGAAAAATATAAAAAAATCATCCAACATTCAGTGATCAGAAATCTTTTATCTGCATAAGGATGTGATCACACCGGGAAACAGATTGCAATTCGGATTGCTTGCAAAGCAATCTGGTGTGATCTATTTCCTGGGAATCACATGGCATATGGGACAAAGAACTCCAGTCTGACCCCAATACATGCCCCACCTGGACCTTTTGGAGACAACTTTAGGGGTCCTATTTTTTGTGACCAGACTGGAACGAATAGTAGATATCACTTTAAAGGAGATCATTTCTGTTAAAGCAATTCTTTGCAGCCATCTGATTGCACCCCTAGTCTAGCTGAAATGGTATTTTATATTGAATCCTTGTTCTTCCAGAACAGTTTTGAAAAATGTATTGCCATTACTATTTGTTGCTAGATATGACTAACTTTTGTAATCACAATCTAAAAACAAAAGCCAAAGTGAGACAACCCCAGCGCCATATTTGAATGTGTAAAGGGGCAAAAACATGAATATAGATATGATAGTGAAATCTCATTAGATATTTAGAATATCTAATAAGATATTTATGTCTCCTTAATGAAAGACATAAGATTTCAAAAAGTTACTTCTTATGTATGATATTATATTGTTTATGATTATACTAAGAAAAATAATACATGTGAATAACAGATGTTCTGTTTTCATGAGCTGTTTGTCCAAATCAGCCAAGTGAAAATTTACGCCATACTGTGGAACAAAATAGTTATAGGAAAGTACATAGCAATTACCCAGTACAGTCTTTGGCTGTTCCAGATGGGGAAGAATTTGGGGCTTAGGAACAAGATTTTTTGTTTTACTGGGAGCTGAAACGAATACAAATGAAAATGTCATTCATATGTTTAAGACAGCATTAGTTGGTACAAACAGACAGCATAATTTTCTGAAAAATGCTCTGATATAAGTCTCTAAAAATGAATGGTAATCTTTCAAAAGTAGTGTTTTTCTGCATAGTTAAATCCAAGCCTGAATAAAAGTATTCCGTGTTGGGATTGTGAGTAGAAAGCTTACACAGCTGATGTACACAGGTCCTGTGGAACACATCTCTGTTAATGCTTGATTCCTTTAAAAAGGCACATTACAAAATATTTTTGCAGCACTTGCAACATTCAGGTGTAATTTGTTCAAGGATATGGAAGGGCTGATGACTGAGATAGTGCAGTGAAATACTCAAGCAACACACACAATTTCAAGGACAGTTGCTTCCACACAAAGTCAGTGGCTGTAGTGGCTGGGGATTCTTATAACTGTTGTTTAGAAAAGTAAACTTTTGTTTTTGATTCTTTGAGACATGAAAAATATATGAAAAAAATTATAATTATAAAATTATAATTTTGAAAATTATAATTTCCAAAACTCTAGGAATCTAGGAATTAAGCTGTGTCTGAATATGTATATGTATGTATGTATATGTATATATATACACGTATACACACACATGTACACACACACACAGAGGGACATATATACATATACATATTCAGACACAGCTTAATTCCTAAATTCCTATATATATATATATATTGCAATATATATTTTCGTCACTATGCTTACTGCTATCTTGCTTTTCAAAAAGCAATTAATGTTTGCTGTTTCGTGCTTTGTTTTATAGAAAATGTGCTTTGTTCAACTCATTGGTAGATGGAGGCAAGAAATATTTACTCGTAATACTCAGTTTTCACTTTGATATAGTTCTGTAAAGAGAACGTACGCCAGAAGTTGCATAGCAAATACAGCAATTTTTTTCAAAGATTTTACTTCTACCAGAATTCTGTTTCTAAGCAAATCAAACTACAAATCATGCAAAAAGTACGAGATACTGTACTCTGTTGTATAGCACACAAAATATCTAGGCTGTCCTTCTAGTATTTTGAATTGGATACCAGGCAGTAGCCAGGCAGAATGGTCTGATTCAATTCTGTACAACTCCATCTCCTATCCACAGCTACCACAACTCTCCACATTGGATGTCACATGACACATTTGCCAGAGACTGGCTTCTGATAGAGTTGATAAAGATATCAGTGCAGATATTTAACTATGACAATTTCTCCCCATAGGCTTATGTAGCTAATTAATCATTACCCAATGTTGTTCTTGGGAATTCAGTGGTTTTATAAATTTTAGATGTAATGGTTTCCCACTGAGGTTCTTTCTCTGCCAATGAAAAAGAAAAAAACCATAGCAATAAATCATGTGGAAATTAGACATTTCTACATAGATAAATATTGTTTTATCATGTCTTAATGGAATTTTATTACTCAGACTGACTTTATGAAACTATAATCATATGTATCTTATATTGATTTGGTTTTACTGGTCTTTGACCGTAATAAAGTATTCATTCATTCAAATTGAGCTCTCTCTTCTATTTCCCCAGATCAGTACGTGATTACTTACAAGGAGAAAGAATATCGAAATTGGTTTCCTGTAGCTTTATCATTACAAATATTTTAATTGTAAGATTTTATGATTATTTTTTATAATATTCAAAGAGATTCAAGACACATGCAAGCAATCAAAGAATAACATAAAATAAAATAAGTTTTCTCGAGAAAAACAATCTTATTTCATGTTGGATGTGATAACAAAAACCCTAATTTAAATATTAATAATGTTTGCTATCCATGGTATTAAAGGTAATTACCATATTTAGTTTCTGTTATTTTGAGGCGGGCAGAAGATTTAGGTGTGGAAGGATCATATAGAGTTTCCACTGGAGCTGAAAGACACAGGATGTATCATAGATTTTTGGTTTTACTGTCTTTTCTTCTGCCTAAAAAAATTAGGATCATAGGAGCTCAAGTGGATGGTGAAGCAAAATATTTTACAAAAAAATTTATATCAGCTGTAAATATAAATATGTTAAACTCTCACAAAACAGCAAACACATTTAACATTTTCCCTCCTATAACTCATTAGATACTTTAAGAAAGTCAGTGTATGTATTCTCGAAGGCTTTCATGGCCGGGATCTCATGGTTGTTGTGGGTTTTTCGGGCTCTTTGGCCGTGTTCTGAAGGTTGTTCTTCCAGACTTTTGCCAGTCTTTGTGGCCGGCATCTTCAGAGGACTGGAGTAGGAACTCTGTCCATGCTCGCTGTTTGTTGGATAGTTGAGTATTTATAGCTGTGGGAACAGCTTTTGTCCTAAAGAGCTCAAAAAACCCACAACAGCCAAAGTCAGTGTATGTCTTACTTGAAGACTGTCAGTCTTCTCGTTGTAAGAATTAATGCATAAGTGATTTGAATACTTAAAATGTCTATATATTATTGATAATAAGCCAAGTCCAGTAATTTTTTCTTTTGATGTTAAAAATAAGATGAACTAGTTCTCTATATTTATATTCAACATAAACTGTAATTTGTTCCAAATAATGCACAAAGGAAGAACGGAGAAGTACACAAATCATAGTCACCATGACATATTCTCTTATCTGAATTTGTCAAATGAATGTATTAAAGGTAAGAAAGGTACATAAACATGAACAGTATAACAAATTTCAAGGGATCACTTTACAAATACAAGAAAACTTCTGAGTTATGAGACAGAAAGCTTCTATTTGGTTTCCACCATGGTTTCTAAACCAGAATGGGAAATGCCCATCTAGAAATAATGAGGCAAATTATGATACTTGCAAATGTACTACCTGGAGATATGTTCAATTGTTCATTAATCCTAGATGTTACAGAAGTAGTCTGCTTCGAAGTTGGTAGATTAGTGGCTAGAAAGATAAAAGAATTCAAACACTGAGCAGGAAAGGAAATACTTCCTTTAATAATGCTTCAGCTCTATAAAAAACATAATGGAACAGGTAAGTGTCAGCTTACATTTTCACCATTCCTTGTACAGAAAGCTGATGTAAGAATCTCTTTCTTGTGAAAATAATGAAAAGGGAAAGAGGGGACACACCCTCAACCCATCTAATCATGACTGCATAAGCTGCAACCATAGAAGGTAGCCTGCATATCCTTTGCAGAAAAAAAAATCAACATGCACTGGAAAATATTTTTTTAGTTCCCGAGATTCTGAAAACAGATACAGCTAGAAATGAAGTGAATATGTTAATTAAGAAAATATTATAGAGTCATACATCCTGTTCATAATCAAAAGTGTAAATATGGTTGTGCCACATGTATACAAACATTTCAGTATTTAATTACCAGGTTTCATCTGCCATCCTTCTGGAGTGGCAGAAGGCTTCCGTTTAAAAGGAATAAGAAGTGTTTCAACTGGAGCTGAAAAAATGATCATGGTCATATTAAAAATCTTGAATTTCATAGCCATTATCTTTAAACATATCGTGCATGCAGCAAGCTTGCAAGGACGAAGGAAGAGTTCCAAATGGAATGGACCAGTCAGATGATGAAAGTGATGGAGGTATAAACAATGTTATCTTAAACAGACTGCAGTATTTCATAGATGTGGCAATTTCTCATAAAGAAATGTGGATGAAAAGTGACGGATCCATGCAAGAAAGATCCATGCAATATTATAACTGAAAATAAAAATAGGAATTGTGTTTCTATATAAGCTTTGAGATGTGATATAAGTATAACAATGGTCAGTACTGAAAACGATGGTGGTATTGAAAAGATGATTATACTCCACAAGAAATTAATTCACATGGAATGAAAATGGTTGTGATGAAGCATAAACTGCATAACCATTCACAGTGAAAAACAACATTACCCAGTGTTGTCCTTGGCCAGTCAAGAGGCTTAAGTGATTTAGGTGTGAGAGAGTCCAGAGTGGGTTCATTTGTTACTGCTAGAAGAAATGTTAAAATGACAAGTATAAGAAATAAAAAAGAACCACCCTCAAATAAAGTGTTTACATGAGGGAAACTATTTTTCTGAAGCAAACACTGAAGTGTTTCCCTGGCTATAGGCCACGGTTTTCAGTTTACCCATTCAGAGGGTGTGACAGATGAAGTAATCTGTTTCTGTCTCATGCCATTAAAGATTTCCTTCATCACATATGATTTGAACAAATGCTGGATGGGCATGTATTTAGTTCCTTCCTGCCTGTAACAGCTCTGGATTGTTTTCTTGTCTGAATCACTGCCATTCATAGGATTTTAGGTGTTCTAACAACTCTGCTAAAGTTCTCTCATTCAAGTAAAGTGGTATGGAATAACAAATTAAATAAGGAATTAGCAAGCAAGATTATAGATAATACTGCAAGTTAGCTTATTACAGAGAACAAATATGACACTTTGGAGTCTCATTGGTTTTAACGTGGGAGAAATGAAACCGGACTGCTAACTTTGCTGTTAGTAATACAACTACAATATCATGATCATTATGATGAAGTGCTGGATGGTTCAATGGTTTGGTTGGGAGTTCTGTTGCCCACTGTGCCTCCTTGACAGGGGCTGGACTATTCAGCTCTAAGATTATTATTATAAGGATCATATTCATCATCATCATCAAGATCACCAGCACCACCATATGGCTACGCAGTGTTTTATAGAACTATGTAGAGAAAAACAGGCAGGTCTCTGCTCCAAAAAACAAACAAACAAACAAAAAAACACCTTACACACTGAAATAAACATTAGGAAACCAATAGAGATTGTATAGTTTACACTTCAGCAATACACTTATATGTAAAGTGTACTGCTGTTTATATCCTGCCCTGTAGCACTTAAAGCACTCTCTTGGCAGTTTAAAATTTAATTATGCAGGCTACACATTCCCCCACCCCTGTATGCTGTGTACTCAATTTACCGACCTCAGAAGGATGGAAGGCTAAGTGAACCTCGAGCTGGCTACCTGAGATTGAAACCAGGTTGTGAGAAGAGTTTTGGCTGCAATACAGCAGTTTACACACTGTGCCAAGGGGCTCATATACACTTAAGGTGTGGGCTCAGAATAAGGATCAAAACAAGGACAGAAAAGGTAGCTGATGAGGAGTATAATGGAAGGGACAAAGTAGAAGCATATGCATGTTCATGGTATCAGTGGATTTAAAATGCTCAGTATTAGCTGGATCATGTCCATAATGTTTGGCTGAAGAGCATGTGGAAAATTCAAGTTATTATTTTTTTTTTGAAAATAAAACCAAGCTTTTACTTTCTTTCTTTTTTAAAATTATATATCCTGTACTGTTTTAAACATTAGATTTATACTCTCTACACAACCAACTTAACAGCAAAAAAAATTTTTTGACACAACTTTTCATTTTATTTCACCACTATATCATGAGCAAAACAAAATTCTGTACAAATTACTAGACTTTCTTCACACGACATGGAGGGCAAGACAAGGAAAAGCTACTAGTGATGATGGCTGTACACTGCATCCAGTGACTGAGATCGTATGCTCTTAAGTGCTAAGGAAAACAAGAGACGAGAGGGTGCTGTTACACTCATGTTCTGCTGACTGGTTTCCATAAGCAACAGGAGACCATTGTGGAGACAATGCGGGACTTGATCTGATCCTACAGGGACTTTTCTTATTTTCTTATGACATATAAACAAGAAAATTCCATCATATTTCTCCTATTCTGGCCACGCTGCACTGGTTGCCCATTTGTTTCCACACTGACTTCAAAGTGTTGATGCTTACGTACAAAGCCCTAAACGGTTTAGGACCTCGATACTTGGCAGAGCGCCTACTCCCACCAAGTTCTACCTGTGTCACTCGTGTGAGTCAGGAGGTGAGGCTGAGGAGCCTGATGCCAAAGGAGGCCCGGAAGGAAAAAACAAGAAACTGGGCCTTCTCAGTGATGGCTCCTCGCCTCTGGAACAACCTACCTCCGAAGATTCACGCAGCCCCCTTACTGGGTATCTTTAAAAATCAACTTAAAACGTAGATGTTTCGGCAGGCCTTCCCTCCAGTTAATCCCTGATGTTTTCCTTTCCTCTCTTCTCTTATTGTTCATTTTCCATCTTGTCAAATTGTTTATTACATAATAATTATTTTTATATTTTATCTGTGTATTTTATGTTGTAAGCCACCTAAAGTGGTCATAATTGACCAGATAGGCGGGATATAAATAAAATAAAATAAAAACATATGGAAGAGCTGTAAGAATGAAATTAACTGAATGTATTAAATCTAGGTTTTGATCTATTGAATCTGTTTCAGACAGCTAAATGGTTGTTACTTTTTTACTCAATTCAGTAAAACTACTCTGAGTTAAATAGCTGGAAGTCTGTAAACCTAGAATGACAATGGTATATATGATTTGGAATACAAGATGTCAATCTCAACAGGTGGTGTGGGACTTGAATGAGCAGATTTTGCTAAAAACTAAAAATAATACATTGATGTGACAGCAACCGCACTGTTGATTTTTTTTCTCTTAAGTTAAATGTTATTTTATGAGGGTTCTACTTGCTTTTTTCTCCTTGTAAGCTCTACCAATAACCAGAGTTGTTAAATTTTTGAAGAGTTTTGATTAGGCTGGATTTTAAATGATTAGTCAATTGACTGAGAATATTAAAATTAATTTACAAATTCTGGAATGTCAGTGAAGCTCTGTTTGGAGAATTTAACTAAAAGGGCAGTTTAAATTTTTTTAAAATGACAATTTCTCAGTGATAGAAATTGGATTCTGGACACTAACATTAAAAGGGTCTTTTAGCTAGAAGAATGGCTTCCAAGAAGAACTTCCTTGGGAATGCTAAAAATTTCTATGATCTGTGGCCACAATATTGCCCACCATAGTAACTGCTCCTTATGTTGCAGTTTTTTGAATTTCTGGTAAAATTCCTTGTTGCTACACAGTACAAGTACAGAGATCCATAGCGAAGAATAGCTACAAGTTGTCACCAGCATTTAAAGTGTCACTAACTCACTCTGAGACATTTGTAAGAGAATGAATGAAAAAAATTATTTACTTACAATTGCTTCAGGTTACAAACTTGTGTATACTGCTTTTTATACTACATACATACTTAGCAACCAACCAACCAAACAAACAAACAAACAGATCAAAAGCAAACAAGCAACTGCCACCATCCAATGAAAGAGAAGGGAAAAGAGCACTCAGCAGAGCATGTTCTTTGAATTCAAAGGCTGGAAGGAATGATCAGTTAGTGCTAGACAGTCAGTCACTCAAGCCCAGAAAAGTCTTTTCCAGTCACACAAACTACAGACAGCCTGTGAGGTTGCAAGCAATACTCTTAAGGGAGGAGGGCATAGCAAGAAGGGAGATGGCACAGCACTTGGTGGCAAGATCACATGATGACCAGAATTCCTGATATCTCAGTCTCATGAGGTATGTGGACTGCATTTCATGAAAACAAGAATAGACCTGGTCCATTCTGATTTTCATGAGACACAATTTACATGTTTGGTGAGATGCAGACCATGATATTGGACATTCTGGCCCTTGTACCACTTTGCCACTTAGTGCCATGCCAGGAAGCACATTGAAGCCTGCCTGAAGTTTGCTCCAGACCTCAAACTTCCACTCCAACTCAAGAGACCTCAGGTACCCTGGTTACATTTTTTACATAGTGGTTCATCTCTCTCCCTTTGGGGTTTGAGATGGCTATGCATCCGGTCATGGCCAATCGCCTGACTAGCCAATGGTGTGAGTTCATCACTCTTCTTTCTAATCAGGCCCTGTTTACATTCTCCTGTACCTCCATTTAGTCTCCTCCTCTGCTGGGTCAAGTTATCTGAATGCAGAAACCTTTTGGCTCATCGTCTAAATGGAAAAAGGCAGCAGCAAAAACACACACACACACACACCAGTGGAGTTCTAGGATAGCCTCTTATGCATAAGTGCTGCACTATATTCTGAGGAAGCTCTATATATTCAATATTTTGAAGTATTCAAAAAACAAACAAAAACGGACTATCTAATTTGGTTCCCTTCTCCAATATCATTTTTAAAAGAAGTTATATATGCTTATGATTGACTACTATCATTCATTATATTTTTTTCTAAGCAGGTAGCCATGTTAGTCTGCTACACAAAAATAACAAAAACTCTTGTGACACCTAAAGAATTCATAAGGTTTATATGGCATTAACTTTTTTTGACAAATAGGCCACTTCTTTTGATCCATGCCATCTGGCAGATTCTAGGAACTGTAGTCCTAAAATGTAACGTTTCAAATCTCTGATTGCAGAGGCCTCTGACTGGAATGCAGGGCTTATCCAAGGCATTGTTCACACTTTAGAGAGCAGCCTAGCATGCTGCATCAACTCTGTTTTGTAGAATACAGTTAGTAGAGATGGGTAAGGTCTTTCAGGCAAACTGATCCATTATTTTTCCTCATTGAGGGACCCCTAATATGCCAAATTCTAAGAATTTTCAGAGATTTTCAAAATACAGCAGGTTTGTGTGGTTTAAAATTAATAAATCATTACTGAATTTAGTGATTAATTTCAAAAACCCTGCTAAAGTTATATATAGTATTGGACAATTGGTTACATTTAAAACTATAGGAGGAGACTTCTACTTGTGTAACAAAAGTTTCCCTTTTCTTTCTCCCCTTGCACGCCACCCAAATCTCCTTTGGAGGTTGTCTCTAGAGCAGCTCTGGGGACACACAGTGTGCCAAAGATGACATTCTAGTGTTGGTAGAGCATTGTTGGGTACGAACCAGTGCCTGAATTTAAGTCAGCCTGTGAATTTCATGCCGAAGACATTGAGCTCTCTAGGGAAAAAAGGAAGGCTAGGTACAACTGATAATAAAACATGCATATTTAAGAATTCTGAATAAGGATTCCAATTCATTATCACATAACTACTGGTTCATTTATTTTTCAAAACCTCTGCTTTTTAAAAAAAGGAATGCCAAATGT